GAGGCCGGGTCTGTGTGCCCGCTGAGGCCGTGGGGCTGCGCTGAGCTGCCTCCCGAAGTGGCGACCACAGCCAAGCTGACAGGCCTTGTTCTTGTAGGATCTGGAGATCTGGCCCCGCGGATGCTGTCGCTTTGAGCAGGACAGGCCCCTCCCAGGCTCCCTCTGCGCAGACCCCCTACCTCTCCAGGGTGGAAATCACAGACCCTAGAGCTGGACCCCGGCTGGGGTCGGGGCAGTTCCCTGTTTCCTCACCAACGGTTAATTTATGAAACCTTCCCCACCTTATAAAACCAACCCAGAGGAGTGTTTTAAATTCGCACTAACTTTACTGCATGTAAATTTACAGCTAGATAAAATATATTTTACAATAAAATAAATTTAAGGCACAATTTTTATAAGTTTGAAAAAGTGCCGCAGACGCCCCCGAGCGCCAGGGAGGGACAGGGCCTCGTCCCATGAGCTGCCTGTCCCCGCAGTGTCTGACTTCTTGGAGGAGTTCCCTGGTGAAGGTCGTGAGTGTGTCAACTGCGGGGCCCTGTCCACACCGCTCTGGCGCCGGGATGGCACCGGCCACTACCTGTGCAATGCCTGCGGCCTCTACCACAAGATGAACGGGGTCAACCGGCCGCTGGTGCGGCCCCAGAAGCGCCTGGTGAGTGTGGGACCCAGCTGGCAGCGTGGGAGTCCAGACCCAGGTGCTGCGTTCTGGGGATGCCCCCAGAGGGGTGACGGCGCCTCCCCACTGCTATGGGGGGAAGGGACAAAGGACCTCCTCCCTAAGCTTGAGGCTGCGACTTGGTGGGGTCTGCCTGTCTCCCAGTCTGGATAGGGACAGTCTGCTGGGGGCTCAGCCCTGTGGCTTTGAGGGTGACTGGGTGACAAGCTTCTTGTCTGGTGGTGGGGGCACGAGGGGCCTGGCGTGGGCTGGACGGGAAGCTGGATGCTGTGTGGGTGCGGCATTAGGGGACACAGCAGGGGCGTTGGGTCCGCTGTCCCCGATGTCCCTTTGGGGAGCACTTTCTACCTGATCCTGAAGGGACGGGATCAGACCAGGGCTTCGGCTGTTGGTTGTTCGGTTGTTCTCTGGACAAATCTTGTTTTCACTTTTGGTTCCTTCTGCCGGGGCCTGGTGGGAGCTGGGCCTGGGAGCCGGACTTTTGCCCCAGGCGGGGCAGAGCTCCGGAAGCTGAGCAAAGAGGTGAAGTTGCTTTGCTCTAGTCTATACGGTTCACAGGCGAACGCTGATGTTCCCGTGACTGTGTAAGGAAGGGGAAGGGACTGCTTGATTTCGAGCTGTGTGAGGCAGCGCTGCCAGTGGCTCCTGCTGAGGTCTGGGCAGGGGTACGGTGCTGGGGGTGCCGAGCCTTCTGGTCTCACGCTGGGATGAGTCCTGTCAGGGTCAGTCGGCCGGTTCTGGCCGGTTCTGGCCAGTTCTGGTGCAGCAGGCCCTGGCAGGGGTGGAGGGGGCTGATCCCTGGCTGACACTGTGGGGTAGCCCAGCCACACAGTTGCCATTCTGGGCTGGGTGGGGGGCTCAGCTGCAGGCCTTTACTAGAAACCGAAGCGGCTACGGGAGCATCGGGCCATCCTCCGAGCCCCAGACTGGGCAGGTGGGAAGCAGCAGAGCGCCGCTGTTTGCACCCTCTGTTTTGGCCTGGCGTTGGGGCTCTGTGGGTTCCCCAACCTTCCTCCACTCACACTGTGTCTCTCAGAGAGAGGGGGCCCCTTAGAGTCCACATCACCCCACACTCTCATCTCTGCCCCTGCATTCATGACCCCCACCCCCTGGTGTGCTGTACCGCCCGTATCTGGTGTGTCCCTCATTGAGGGGAAACAGGCTAAGAGGGGAAGGTACTGGGGGACCCCAAGCAGCAGGCCAGCCCTCCTCTGGCTCTTTCACTCTCCCTGTGCCAGGCCCCGAGCCAGGTGCCAAGGACACACTGGTCATCGGGACAAGATGGTGTCCCCACCTTTGTAGGGCCCACCTCCCAGCAGGAAACCCCTGACTTGGGGGTGGGCAGGCAGGGCTGCCATTTAAGCGCTGAGATGGTTATCCTCACAACAGCCAGAGCCCTGGGCACCCAGAGCCCATGGCAGACCCTGGGTAAAGGCCAGGACTGTCCACCTCAGGGTCCCCTGAGTCCCCCTCACGCTGAGCCCCCTGCCCCTGTCCTGGGTCTCCTGGCCCAGGCCCCTGGGCGATGAATTCAGGAACTGTCCCCGCGCCGTGTGGTAAAGGCCAGATCAGACAGCTCTGCCGAGCACTTCGGCTTTGGCTGGCTCTGTGAACAGGCTGCCTGGGCACTTGGCCTGGTGAGGCCTCTGCTTGCTGGTCTGGGGAACACAGGGTACTTAGGGTGCCTGCTAAGGGGGAGAGCCCCGGAGACCGCTCATCTCCCCAAGGCATGGGCCGTGGAGGGTGCACAGCCTGGTCACCATGTCCAGGCCCACGCTGATCTGAGTGTGGAACACGCCCAGGAAGTTTTTCTCAAGTGGCGCCGGGGGCTCACCTGTCTCTCCCCAAGCGGCATCTAGGGGTTCACTCTGGCTCACTTTGGGATTCCTGCCTGGCATTCGGGGGGGCAGCCCCAATGCTTGCCCTGTGGCTGGTCCCGGCAGGGCCAGGCTGGTGTGGAAACCGAGACTCTCAGAGAGTCCCGGGACCAGAGCTTGAGCCACATGGCTCCCGCCACGATGGGGCTGGGCCCGTGGCCCCAGGCTTCCCCCCACTCCAGTGTCTCACTGTCCCTGTGTGTGGCCAGACCTGAAGTCCCGGGGGGGCCTCCCCAGGAAAAACTTGTCCTGACCTTTAAATGACTACAAACACCCGAGAAGCTTGTCACCAAGATACAGGAACGTGACAATAACAAGCACCCTCCCTGCAGGCTCATAGCTGCTGCCCTCTGCGTGCCATGTGCCTGCTTAGTCACTGGCAGGCTGGGGTGCACCTTTGGCCTGAGGTCTCCGTCAGTGTAGACAGGGCGGATAGTTGTGGTGGTTTCCGTCACTGTGGGTGGGCCAGGCGCTCTGCAGCCCCATCAGCCCCCCTCCTGGACATTGGAGCCCGCAGCCCAAGTCAGGGACAGTAGGCTCGTTGGCCTATGGCAGCCTGGTGCCAGCTCCGGGAAGTGGCAGTGCCGTGGGGGCCCAGTGTTCTTCGCTGAGGAAATTGGACCTTGACTGGGGCTCTGATGTTCACTGGCCAGGTGTACCTTCTGGCACAGCCCTGCCTCGCAGGCTCTTGTCCCCACGAAGTTTGCCCTGAGCAACAGGGACACAAGCTTATCGGGTTAATGTCCCCCACGTATGTCTCCCCTTCCAAGATGTGCAGGGGACCCGTTTGAAATTGGAGCCATTTTTCGAGGCTGCTGCACGCACATGTGACCTGCAGCTGATTTCCTTCCCAGTGTCCCTGCTCGTGTGGAGAGTGCTGCCCCCGCCCCGACTTCCTTGGGTGCCCCAGAGCTCAGGTGGCTCTGCTGGGCCCGCAGCCTTTGAAGTTTCACTTCATTTGAAAAGAACCGACCAAATCAGAAAACCAAGTGCAGCGGAGGGAGCCTGGCAGTCAGGGCCTGAGAGTGGCCCAGCGCTGGTTCCGCTGGGAGGCAGGCAGATGGAGGCTCAGTCCGCCCTGTGTCCGGCCCAGGAAGGTGGTTCCGCCCACCTGAGGGCACATGGCCCCTCAGGGCCTCTGAGCCCCAGTTTCCCCTCTGAAACGAGTCTAGTGAGAGGGCAAGCTCAATGAGCAAACACATTGAATTTTTTTCATGGTTGTTCTTCCTCCATTTTCTTAATTTTAATTTAATCTCCAATTTCTCAACTTGGATCTGTGCTCACTGTAGGAATTTCAGACGTGGCTTCCCAGTGTCCCCTCACACTCCCTGGGAGAGGGAGGCTGGGTCGCGTGCTTTGGGGGGGCTGGGTGCTTGTGTATGTATTCTGCATGCAGGCACCCTCTGTGTGCACAGCTCCCAGCACCGAGGGGCAGATAGAGGGGGGGCAGGGGGAGACCCTGGTGTCCAGTGAAAGCAGCTGCTCTCTGGACGCGGTCGGCCGGTGGCCTCTGCCCGTGGAGAGGTCTTTCCAGGGCCTGTGTTTTCTTGGGAGTGGCTGGTGCCCAGGCTTCAGACAAGCCCCACTTCCTTCCCCGGCCATTCACAGGGGGCAGGTCTGCGCCCCTGACCGCTGACCACAGCCTGGGGGAAGTGGGTGGTCAACAAGGCTTGCTACCCTCAGTCATTGCAGAAGGAAGGGTCCTAGAGACTGCTGACAGGTGGGGAAACTGAGGCTGGCCCTGTCTGCCGACCCCTAACCCCCCAGGTCAGGTTCCTTTGTGGCTTGGCTTGGCAGTCTCTTGATTGCCCTCGGGCTGGGAAAGTTTTAAGTATGGGGTCCTCATGGGCTTCTGTAGCAGATGTGGCCTAGGCTGGCCCTGGCTGCACGGGGACCAGGCAGGGGCAGTACAAGTGGAGGAGAGGATGGGACAAGTTCAGGGGCATCTGAGGCAGTGGCTGGTGAGGAGAGAGCAGCACCCCCAGGACAAAGTCTGGGGGCAGGTAGCTGGGGAGGGCTGGTGCCACCGGCAGGCGATGTTGCTGGAATGCGGGGAAGGACTTTGGGTCCGAGGTACCTTTGGGGCCCTGGGCCTGGAACAGAGCATCTGGAGCTCCCGGGCTATGGGTGACAAGATTCCACCCAAACACCAAAATGTGAGTCAGGCAGAATCTGTGCTGAGAGAGAGGTGGCTGGGCTCTGGGTGCCGGGGATGCCTGAGCTGGTGGGAGGGCCCCTCAGATTCTCTGCCCCGTTAGGTCCCCAACCTGAGCCTCAAACGCCTGCTTTCTCAGGATTCCTGGAATTAGTGCTGTCTGGGCCCCATCAGGCACCTAAGCATAGGGAGGTTTGGGGTCCCTCGTCAGATATGGACCTGCAGGCTTGGGGGTCAGCTCTGCCGGGACACACGGGAAGGAAACGGCCTTTGGAAGGTTCCGATGGGCCCAGTCTTACTCTGACATGAGGCACGATGAGGCTGGTGCCCTCAGCCCGCTGTCCAGTGGGGAGTTGTTGACTTATGCCCATGCTGAGTCCCAGGTCCTGGGAGGCAGGTGTCCAGAGGACCAGCAGGTCCCCACACGTCCAGCCTGGGGCCTGGCCTCTGGAGGTGCCACTCACTGTAGAAATATGGGGTCTTCATGAGATCCTAGCCCCACAACAGGCCTGCGGTAGATCTGGTATCACCCCCATTTCACTGCTGGGGAAACTGAGGCCCAAAAGTGACGTGACCTGTGCCAGGCTCATGGGGCATGGACTTCAGGACAGCCTCACAACACCTTGGCGGCCCCACGGGGGGCAGTCCTGGCTGCCAGTCAGTCTGAGTCCACTTCCATCCCCCTCCTCCAGCTGTGCCTAGCCCAGCAGCCCAGAGCCTTGGGCCCCCAGCACCGGGTCTCACTGGCCTTCCCCTCCCACAGTCCTCGACCCGCCGTGCCGGCCTCTGCTGCACCAACTGTCACACGACCACCACCACGCTGTGGCGGCGCAACGCAGATGGCGAGCCCGTGTGCAATGCCTGCGGGCTCTACACCAAGCTGCACGGGGTGAGTGGGGCAGGGTGGATGGGGAGAGGCCGAGGGCTGCTGAGCCTGAGCTGGGGACAGGGATCCCCAGTTGGGTCACTTGACCAGCCTTCCTGGCACTTAGGGACCAGGGGGCTGGGGAGGAATAAGGTGGGTGGGGCTGGGGCTGGCCGTGTTACACATGGGGCCCCACATACTGCTACTTTCAGGCCCATTGTGCAGATGGGCTCACTGAGGCTCGTCACGTCACTGTGGCTCTCTCACAGCCATTCAGCCAGGGGCAGCAGCTGGACACTTAGTCTTGCCTCTGCACCCCAGGGTCCCCCTGGCCCTGACGGCTCCAGGAGGCTGGGGTGGGACAGCTCCTCCACCCGCCTGGAGGGAAGCAGCAGCCCAGGCGGCAGCTCGCCCAGCAGGGCTCCTGGCTGTACAGGGCCGAGATTAGGGCAGGGGCCCCAGGGGCGGGCAGGGAGAGGGACCCGCCGCCCACCCCTGCATGTCTCTGCAGGTGCCCCGGCCCCTGGCGATGAAGAAGGAAAGCATCCAGACTCGGAAAAGGAAGCCTAAGAATGTTGCCAAGACCAAGGGCCCCTCAGGTGCAGGGCCAGGGCCCCAGGTGCTGGGTGGGAGCTGGGACCCCAGCCACTAGTCGCTCCCAGCCCTCTGGTGGGGCTTGTGGTCCCTGAGGAATCACCTGGACTGTCTCACCTTCCACCATTCGAGGTTTACATGTCCGCTGCAAACACTGTCCCCCACCTGTTCTGGGATGGCTCTGGTTGGGGGAGGGGCAGGGAGCTCCCCCAGCACTGAGGCAGGAGGGACGGGCTGTGTGGCAGCTTCTATAAATGCCCCACCTTTCCTCCCAGGGTGCCCAGGGAACACCACAGCCTCCCAGCCGTCCTCCATCCCTATCCCTGAGAGCTCAGCGGCCACTCTGAAACCCAAGCCCAACCTGGCATCCCCTACTTGCCCTGGGCCCTGCGTCACCTCCCAGGTAAGGCATATGGACGGGGTGGGTGCCCAGAGCTGGCTCCCAGGCACCTCCTCAGGGAAGCCCGACTCCCTGGCCAGGCCAGGGCCCCTGCAGGCCTCTCCCGGGAGCTCAGGGCTGGCCACACAGCTGGTCGTTGGTACCGAGAGTTGACCTGTGTTAGACGCGGGCTGAGAGCCCAGCATGTCATCACGTCGACACTCACAAGAGGTCCCCCTCTCCATTCCAGGAGTGAGGGGACTCCTTAGGGTGAGGTTTCCTGACCCCACAATCCCACGTGAGGCAGCCTGGGTTCCTGAATTTATACACATCCCTGTCCTCCCTGCAGGCCTCCAGCCAGGTGGACGACCCCCTGGCTCCCAGCCACTTGGAGTTCAAATTCGAGGCTGAAGACTTCCCCCTCCCCTCCATGGCCCTGGGCTCCCAGGCTGGACTGGGAGGGGCCCTGCGCCAGGAGGCCTGGTGTGCACTGGCCTTGGCCTAGGTTCCCAGTCACCCACCAGACCCACCTCGTGACCTGTGTCGCTCCAGCACAAGGGTCAGCCCACCGGGCCACCCACCAGGAGAGACAGCAGCCAGCAGGATCTCGAGGCACTGGGCCTGCAGCGGAGAGGCCTGGACAGATGGCAGTCAGGCCCCGGAGTGGGGTGAAGGCCTTGGGGACAGAGGCTCGTGCCCCCCCAATAAGGGACCCACAAATGCTGCATGAGGCTTCACACCACTCTGACCAGGGGTGCCTACCGCCAACCTGAATTCTGTTGTCAATACTTGCCACTGCCATGTTTACAGGTGGCAGCTGCTGGGAAAAACTCAACCTTTTGTTGTGAAAGCAGGATCACAGACGGAATGGCCAAGGCCAGGAAGACACCTCTCCTCTAAGCGCAGGGCTGCCAGGGGCAGGTGTGCAGGCCATGCACGCGCCACCCCCCCCCCCCCCCCCCCCCGGGGGAAGCCCTGCACCTCGCCGTCCTCGCAGACAGTAAAGACCTTGTTCTGGTTGAATCTGTGTGTGAGCATCACTGACAGGCAGAGTGAAGTACCTGAGCCTTTTCCGACCCACAGGCTGCTGGTGGGGTGAGCGCACATCCGGGCTTGTCTGTTGTCCCAGCAGAATTACCTATCACACCCCCTTTCTCCTGCAAAAGTCCTTCGCAGGTCGGGTGGTTACTAGTAAGTTGGTCCTGCCAACTAGACACAGCTCTGCCCACGGGAGCTGATGGGTGGCTGCTAACAGCTTAATGTTGGAGGCAACAGGGAGTGGAGGGGAGTGGGGCACACCCTGCCGGAGGGCCATGGCACTTGTACCCAGATGCTACTTTAACCAACAAGACCTCCTGGTTTTTCCAGGGAAGCCAGAAACTGGAATTTTTTTAAAAAAAAAAAGTAAAGTCTTCCAATTAAAAGCTTCTTTCCCCAACTCCCAACTTGATTCAAACCAGCTTCCAGAATGTCCGCTCACCTACAGCTGCCCCTTGAGGGCAACCAGCCCACTTTCCACACGCATTCCTTTTTTCTTTTTTTAAGACAAGCAAGGCCATAAGAAAATATGTAAAATAAAGACCTTGATTTTGCCTTCCTGTCTCTATCACCTGTGGAACTTCCCGGCCTCGCGCGAACACGTCCAACATCAGACCATCCCTTTCAGAAATGCGTCCCAGGGGCCTGTCTGCTGGACATCGCTGGCCAGCTTGGGTCACACAAGGACCCTGGAGGGCGCCTGCAGAATGGATGATGCCTTCGAGGTTGCCGGGCATTGCCCAGCCTCTCACACACGGAGCTGCTGCAGGGCTTGGGCCACATCAGCGCAGCCCCGGGGCCTGTAGCCGCATAGGGCAGCGGTCGCCAGCTGGTGGTCCGTGAGGTCCAAAAGGTTGGCGACCGCTGGCATAGGGAACTGCACGGCCAGTGCCAGGCTGCAGAAGAAACCCCTCGTGGGCAGGCCAGTCTGGCAGCTCACTACCAGCACTTCCCACAAGCAGGCTGGATGGGAGAGACGGCAGCAGGCAGTGCCTTCGGGTTGTGCCAGGTGCACCTGCCTGTGGCCAGATGTGAGATTGCTGCTAGAGAGAGCTGGCTGCCATCTCGTCTCCATGCCCACAGGTTTCCCAAGAGACTGTTCCCGGTGAGGAAACTGAAGCACAGAGAAGTTAGGGGGTCTCCCATTTCCTCGCCAGCCTCCCCTCCCGCCTCAGAGGGAAGCTCTGCCCTGTCCAGCCCCATCACTTGCCCTTCCCCCTTCGAGGGGGTGGACACCTGATGAGAGAAACTGAGGCACCAGGGAACACAAGGCATCAGGCCAACAGCAAGGCCCACCCACGTGAGGGCCCAGGTGTGGAGGGGCTTGCATAGCATCCTCACAGCACAGTGCTGCTGCCAGGAGCCCAGTGGCTTCTGTCGGAAGCTGTTTCCCCATCTGTAGGTAGGGGAGGTGCCCTGGCCTGTAATCCACGCACGCGGGCATGGGCCCAGGCCCCAGAGTCCCCAGTATTGGAGGCAGCACTCACACTGACCAACCACAGGCTTCCTGGAGGTGGCAGTGGGGCAGGCGAGGGGGCGGGGCTGCACAGATGCAGGGGTGGGTTTGGCAGAGGGAAGGAAGAAGCCATCTCTCCCACCTCTTTTTGTCATTTTTAAGGACGTGCCCAGGATGAGCGAGGCTGAGCCCCACCTCTGGGCATGGCGTTGCTGCTAAATTTAAGCCTTTCTCCCCGAGTGCCTACAGCCTTAATATAGCCGCTGGGCACCCCTTCCTGCAGCCCTTCCTCCTGCTACAGCCCCCAGGCTCTGCCCTCTGGTCACAAACAACCGGACACTGGGCTGGCAGGCCTGCAGCCTGGGCCACTTATCATAGTGACAGGGTGGAAAGGCCACCTCATGGCCGCTGCCTGACTGCACCCACTTCATCTCCAGCCTCTCTGCCCAGGGAGCCCGAGGAGGGGCGCCACCTGCAGCTGTCCCCGCCCATCCGCGTCCCAGAGGCCACCGAGCCCCCACCGGGCTCCGCCCTGGTGCCTGGGGAAGGGAGAAGACCCTGCCGGTGAGCACACAGGGCATAGAAAGGGGCGACACCAGGACCTCTCGTCAGAGTTTCTTAAATCAGAACAATTTTAAGGTGCCCTTCTCCCAACCTTCCAGCCCTTGGTGGCTCACTCCAGCTGCAGGGCAGCAGCCAAACGTGTCCCAGGGACACTCCTGCAGGCTTGGTCCTTGAGGCAGAAGCACCCCCCCACCTCCCCCCCCCCCACACACACACACACACACGTCCTTGACGATGGGGTCAGGGTCTGTGACGTTCACCCTGCCTTCCGCCTGCCTTGCTGCAGGTGTCAGCAGCATGTTCGCTGCATGCCCCCTGGGCTCTCGGACGAGCACCACCCTGAACCCCTCCAGCCCAGCCATGCCCAGACCCCAGAGCCTCTGGGGGCCGGGCCTAGGGCAAAGGGGCTCAAAGCCTCCCGGGCACTCCTGGGGCCAGGCGGGAGGGACCGAGGAGCCGGTCCTGGGGGAAGCGCTGGGCACCAGGTCGGGAGAAGACCAGGTGCCTCAGGGAAGGGATGGTGTCCTCCCCGCTCACTGCTCTTTCCTTTGCCACAAGCCCAGGGGAAGTGGGTGGCGACTCGGGGGCTGTGGTGTGGACAGGCTGTGTGGACAGAGGCCCAAAAAGAGGCTGATGAGGCTCCCCTGGGTCCCGGCCCCCACATGGACCCTTTTTGGCAGACGAGAGGCCAGAGGGGTGGGGCCCCCTGAAGTTGGGAGGCTGTAGTGCCTGTTACCCATACACATCACATCTCGGCAGAGCCTGGCAGGCCCCTCGGAGCCTGGGTGGGGGTGGCTAGCCCTCAACGGCCACGCGGAGGCCCTCGCAGGCAGCCCCCCTACAATGCCCTGCGAGGCCCGCCAAGATGTTGACATGGACGGCTCCAGCCGACTTATTTATTATCTGATAAAGGGCTCGCGGCACCGCTGGTGGACAGTGTCTGGCTGCACTGGGGCCTGGGGGAAGGAGGAGGGGGGTGGGGGGGACTGGAGGCCAGACCAGGCCTCTACATTGGACTCCAGGGCAGGACGCACAGAGGAATCTGGGCTCTTCCTCCCCAGCCACAGCCTTTCTTCTCCACCGCCCTCCGAGCCAGCGGGCCAAGGAGACAGCCAGCTCCCGCCCGGAGCTGTCCCTGGGGACTCCCAGCCTGGGTGTCACACCCCGAGACCTGTGCCTCGATGCCAGGCCCTGCTCTCACCGGTCCCAGGAACCCCCGCTGGGGCCCTCCTCTACCCTCCCACCCCCTTGGCCTGGAGCTCAGACTTTCCATGATGCAAATCTGGGCGTCTCTCCTTTGCTTCCAAATGCTCTGGCCCAGGTGCCGCCCCAGCAACTGCTCGGCCGGCTCCAGCCATGGTGGCCCCGTGGCCTCAGGGCCCCCCTTTCACGGCACCTGCGTCCACTCTTTGGTACTGGGGACACTTGTCAGCCTCCAAACACATCATGGCTCTGGGCCTTTGCATGTGCCGCTCCCTCGTCTGTGCCTAACCGACGGCATGTTACTCAGGGCTTGAGACCCTGATGCACCTCTTCCGCACGCCTCTCTCAGGCTGTGCAAGGTGGCTCCAGGGTCGCCTCCGGGCAGAGCCGCCGTGCCCTCCCTGGGGCGGCCCTTACACAGTGGAAACAACCTAGATGCCCAGTAAGAGCAGGGGAACGTGTCCAGTGAGCTTTCCAGACCGCGTTGCAAGAGCATCGGACAAATCCAGCTTATTCTGAAGTGCTTCTCCCTAAACCTCCGAGGCAGCTTTTATAACCAAGTGACAACAAAGGCGGCCTCCACGGGTCTCCACAGCCAGCCCTGCCGACCAGCCTCGCTGCCTCCTCGCGAGGGCGGGCCTGCATGGGAGGGGCAGTGGGGGTCCAGGACAGGTGACCTGGCCACAACCCCAATTGGTCCCTTCCCACGGGAGGTTCAGCAGAGGCAGGTGACGGTCACTGTCCCTTCTGCTTGGCCTCTGAGAAGCCTGGGAGGCGGGCAGGCCCCAGCTGGGAGCAGTGGCGCCTCCCCTGGCTGGTCACTTCCCATCTGTGCAGCCTCAGCGTAGAGGCCACCTCTTCAGCCAGGCCCTGCTTGTCCACACTGGTCCAAGCAGACCCCACCCTGGCCCCTCCTGCACCTCGGCCTTCCTGGACCTTGTCCACCTGTAACCACGGATTTGGACGCTCCCACGCTCCCTCCGTCTCGCTGCAGCCCGTGTCCCTGTGAGAGCCAGCGCCGACCGACTCGGTGGGGAATACATGCATGAGCAAAGAGTCTGGCCTGGGGGTGCTGACCAGCCCCTCCAAGGACCAGCCATTTGCCATGGGGGTGGGGACAACACGGGTGAGGTGAGGTCCCCAGAGGAGGATTTGTGGGGGGCGATTCACGGGAGAGAGAGGGAGAGGAGCCTGTCCGGCCGTGTGCAGTGGCACCCTGCCCAGCTGCTCCTGCAGGGGTGGAGCGTGCAGGCGGCCCTGAGACTGTCCTGCCCCAGGCACGGAGGCCGGCTCTCGCCTCCGCACCAGTGCCGCCCTGTGCGTGCGATCAGGAAGGGGCTTCCTCGAGTGGGCCCTGGGAGGAGGACGTTCAGCTGTTGCCTCCCTGGTCCCAGACCACCCGCCTCCCCCTCTGAGCAGGCCCCAGGCCCCTGAGGCTCAGGGCCGAGGCCAGTTCAGACGGGGGAGCCGGGGCCTGTCCTGGGTTTGGGGTGTGGCAGGGCTGGATGTTCCCACACCTGGACAACGCCTGCAGGGACTGGGAAAGGACAGAGGCCACTGGAGGGGCCTTCAGAGCAGGGCACACTCAGGGTGGCCACAGGCGGGCAGCACGCAGCGGGACCAGCCTTGCCCGGAAGCCCATGGACACTGGCCAGGCTGAGTGCTGGATTCTGGTTCCCAGAAACTTGGAATTGACTCAGGATGGAGAGGGACAGAAGCCCTAGCAGGGTCTGAGGGCTTCGTGTCTGACCTCTGAACTCATTACTCCCGAGTGGGTCTCTTGTGTGTAAAACGGGCCAAGTTGCTCAATATAAACATTTTGGAGATTACACAATGGCCACGCCCTGTTCTGGCTTGTCTTTGTTTTCTAACACGCAGAGAACTCAGAACTCGGTCTCGACCCCCAGAGGCCCTGGTGGCCAGGAATGGGCAAGTCAAGGTGGACCCACAGTAGGCCATGTGCCTGGACAGGGAGGGAGGGATGAGGTCAAGAGGGGCAGGCCAGGAATGGAGAGACCCAGATGGATGGAGGCAAACACAGAGAGACACAGAGAGACAGAGACACACGGAGAGGCAAAGCCGGACCTGACCCCCTGACCCCGCACCGCCTTCGGTCTGACGGCCACAG